AAATCACCGAGTATGCAAGAAGCATCAGAAGAGAGACTAAAGCCTACTAAGAAGAAAACTAGAAACCAAGATCACCAACAATACTCCATTTTGAATAATCTCTTTCAGAAAGATGTAAATTCTCCTAAATTCTAAAATAAATGGAATTCAGTATAGCAAAGTAAAATGTTTTGAATACATTTTAAAAAACCCTGATAGACCTTTTACCAAGGATTGCGATCCCGTTGCCGGTCCCGGTCCGGTACGGGCGCGACACTGAGGGTTGCGATCCGTTGCCGGACACGAAAAAAAAAAAAAAAGACAAAAAAAGGGGGGAGGAAAAAAAGTGAATATCTCTTTCCCAAAAATCTATAACTCCAGTCTAATCACGAGGAAAATATCAGACAAACCCAAATTGAGGAACACTCTATGAAATGCCTGACCACTCCTCCCCAAAACTGTCATGAAAAACAAAGTCAGATAAACTGTCACAGCCCAGAGGAGATTAAGACATGACAACTGCATTCAATGTGGGATCCTGGATAGTTTCCGGAACAGAAAAATGACATTAGTGGAAAAATTGGTGAAATCCAAATAAAGTCTCTAAAAATTAGTTAAGAGTAATGTACCAATAATGGTTTCTTAGATTTGGAAAAGTAAGACGTTAACAATGGGGGAAATTTGCAACTTTTCTGTAAATCCAATATTACTCCAAAATTAAAAGTTTATTACAAAATAAAAGTGGATATCTCTGGGTGGTGGGATTACAAGTTTTGTGTTTTTTTATTCACCTGTATTTTATAATTTTCAACAAGCAACAAGTTTCATTGTCATGAAAAACAAAAAGATTTAGTCTCAGAAGACTTTAATTTGCCCAAAAACAAAAAGTTAAGGCAGCACAGGAATTCTGGAGTTAATCCTACTTCTCTTCACTCTAGATCCCATCCAGCAACCCAGGAAACTACCCTAAATAAACTATTCAACTCTCCTTACTTGCTTATACACAGAATTTAAGGTCACCAAAGTACTTTATCCCATTTGCTTCAATGTAATTGATGGGGAGGAAGAAAACAGATGAGAGAAGTCTGACAGTGGGCACATGGGAATTGATAATACACTTCTTTCCACTTTTGCATACATAAAGGTCTCCATAATAAAAAATTTTTAATTAAACAGTAAAGTTCTCACTCCCCAACACAAACTATGCCCCTTCCACCTCTCTGTGGAGCACTGGCGCCTGGGAGGAGAAACACCACAGCTGAGAGCCTGCAGCACTTCACAGTGAGGCGGAGAAGAAAGTCCTGGACTGGGAATCTGAAAGCTTCAGTCTTCGCTCTGCTTTACCTGTGAGACCCCACAGATTCCTCTAACTCCTCGGGGCCCTGAACTTCCTGAGCTGTTGCCACAATAAATCTCTCAAGTTCCTTCTAGGATTAAAATTCTGATTTCAACTTTCTATTAGCTCCTTAAACTCTGCACTGTCAAAACTAAATTCATCCTTTCTCTATTCTAACCCCTGAGACCCATTCTTCCTCCTAACTTCCCTACTCTTGATATTCCATTTTTCTAGCCACACAACCATAAAAACCATGTCCTCATCTCTCACTTTAAATATATAACTGACCGTTCTCCCCCACCCCCACCCCACCTAATCAGTCACATCTCTCCGGACAACCTACAAAATATCTCTTGAATCCATCACCTTCCTTCCAAGGCCACCAATTCAATTCAGGCCGGCACCACCCCTCACTTGGACTATTACCATGAGCACAATGTAAGTCCCTGTCTCTAAATTCTCCTCCATACCAATCCATCACACTTATCATTAACCTGACATTGAAGATCCTCCAAAGCCCAGTCCTGACCTACTGGCAGCCTTACTTTCCATTATGACACCTAAAGGTATCCCAGGACCCGGGTAATTTGGACATGCAGTTTCCTCATACCCACCACATTTCCGACACAACCCCAGACTCCCCTCTAGGATACCCTCTTCTTTCCATTGCTTTTCATCTTTAGGGTGGTCGATTTATATGCCTCCTCTTCAACTGAAGTGTTCCCTGATATCCCCAAGGGGGCAGTAATACTCCCTCTACTTAATCCCTAAGTACTTTATGTGAACCCCTTTTACAGCATCTATCAAATTCCTATTACTCGTTTCATTTTTTCGGTTCCCCAATTCTCTCCACTAGATGGTTAGTTCCTTGTCAATAGGAACAATGTTTCATTCATCTTTGAATTCATCCCTCGGAACAGAACTTCTCAAAGAGTGTGCCATGGCACACTGGTATGCCATGAATGAGTTAAAGATATCTTAGACAGTAGTGATTTTAGCCCTCCAAACAGCCACAAAGGGACAACAGAAGCCAGAACCCCCATCTGGTCAAGCCTCAAGCAGTCTCAGCCCAGTACACACCATGACAATAACTTGCAAAGCACTCAGAGGATGCAACACAGTGTATGGTACACAGTGAATGGTCAATAAATGCTTGTTGAATTGAATCTTGAAATAATTAATCCATCTGTTCCCCTTCAACCACTATCTCCAAGATCACTTATCATTTAGACCATTTGAACATTTTCACTGAACATGTTCTGGTTATCTTTTTAATAATTACCTCTTTATTACCTGGTTATACTTGTCTTAACATCCAAAGCCCCCATCAACAGTTTATTGCATAATATAGCAAAAGATATGAACAATTCACCATGAAGAGATTCACATAGTTAAAATCAACATTATATAACAAAGAAATGCAAGTGTCATTTTACAATATTAAATTAGCAAAAAAACTTTTGAGAAAAAATGGATTTCTGTCCAGCTTATGGTGAAAAAGTTACATCCATATGTCTGTTAGGAATATAAACTGGTAAACACCCTTTAAAAAAGTGTAAAAACACCCATCAAAAGCCATAAGACCATTCATATCCTTTAACATAATAATGCACTCTGAATTGATCCCAGAGATATAATTAGTCAGAAAAAAATACCGTAATATCTACAATGATGTACATTAAAGTGTTAACTGAAAACCAGCCAACAACGTAAAATACTTAACATAAAAAGATTTAAGTAAATTTAATCATGGGAGCAGATGATGAAATTATCTTTGCAACCTTTCAAAACGTAAACATATAAATTAAAATTGTGAAACCTGTAATGAAACATAAAAATGTCTCACGATCTAACAAGTTTTTTTGTTTGTTTTTTTTTTTAAAAAGATGGCTGGTAAGGGGATCTTAACCCTTGGCTTGGTGTTGTCAGCACCACGCTCACCCAGTGAGCGAACCGGCCATCCCTATATAGGATCCGAACCCGTGGCCTTGGTGTTATCAGCACCGCACTCTCCCGAGTGAGCCACAGGCCGGCCCGATCTAACAAGTTTTTAAAAATTCAAATTATAAAACATCATAAAAATGAATTTTAAAAATGTGTATTTTGAAATGGAACGACAAAAAGAAAATCAACTGTTCTAGGGTAATAACCCAAACAATAATTTGTTTTAATATCAACGTATTCAACATTAAGAAAGGAAGTTCCACCTTAAAAGAAGTTCTCAGGAAACAGGGATTCCAAGACACAAGCTTAATGCAGTCTCCAGAACAGAACCGCCCCTCCCTTCTGCTGCTCACTGTGGCCTTGACTAAGCCTTCTCATGCTCGCCTTGATCATGATGACCTATGACTATCCCAGACCCCAGTTTTTCAATGACCAGCAAACTGCCTCAGCTGGCTTTGTGATCATCCCCACGAACCTGTGGGGGACAAAACATGTAAAACAAGCATATACCCAAGAAACAAAGAACTCATTCAACCGTGTATAACTTGAACAATCAACAAGTAGCCAAGCCCAAGTTTCACTGTAAACCCTAAAAGTATATAGTATTGCCACATATTAAAGTCTCTAGCAGTCTCAAGGCCAATTTACTGACTCCGTGGCAGACTATATCAGTTAAAAGGCAGTATGGACTTACAGACAAATCAAAGAATTCGGGGTCAGGAGACCTGGATAGTACAGTTAAAAGCAAAAGGAAAAAAATAAAGTTTTTGGGGTTTTTTTTTTTTGTTTTTTTGTTTTTAACTACAAAGAACATAAAGCTAAAAACTCCAGCTTAACAGTTGGGTAGAAAATAGTTACATATCTTACCCAGCCAGAGTTCAAAAAGCAGGACAGCAAGTCATCTTATTAACAGCTGAAGCTTTCTGATGATGGAGATGTCTAACAAAAAACTAGTAATGAAAATACATCAAAAACTAATTTTAGCACCAATGCCCCACAAGGACCGTATTAAAACAGCCTTCCAGTTGTTTTTTTTTTCCTGTAGCACTTTCTAGGTGTGATAATGAAAGACCAAGATATTAAAACGGACCAAGAAGATTAATTACTATGAAATAATACTCTTCCTTTAATTACGGGGCATTTCAGCAAAAGATACATAATTTAAAGGACTAATAGTATAGATGGAGGTGGTACAAACCATTAGGAAAAAAGTTTAATCTTTTGTTTCCATTGATATAATCTCAGTATTTAGATCCTCAAAAATGCAGATATGTACAGTCATTCATGACACTACATACATAGATAATAGGAAAAATAATACTTAACCAAGTTCATCAGAGCACAGACCACTCAAGAATGTTAACATAAAAACTGAAGGACCTCTCAAGTTCCAATCACGTGCAGATAAATTGAGCCCCTGTGCAGTTACTCATTCTAAACAGAAGTGGAAGATTAACCTACCCTCACTTCTCTTCAAACGAACTAGTCTGACAAAGCGGCAGGCAGGGTCTCTTCAAAGGCTGTTTGTTCATCATCCAGTCTGTTCCAGAAGTAGCCAATTCAGTCAGGACCTGTGTCTACAGGTTACTGCTGTTTCTTTACAGCTCTGTATCAGTCCACCCTGTCACACCTCATCCTTTCTAGCCAGACTTTCTTAACTGGATTAAGTCTCTCCTGTATCTTTTTCAGGCATTACCAAATTCTTTTTTTTCTAGATAAGGCTCTCCTAAACTTTACTCACCTGCAGTTCACTGCACTGGGTATCACCTAAATAGCCCATCAGAGCTCTTTATAATTTCTGAAAGAGAGAGAAGGAAGTTTGTAAATACATAGTAGAAAACACCATTGGCTGACATCAGTTCTCAAACATTTGTATCAATATTCACAGCATATGGTCTCTTGGTCCATAGTGATTCACTAAAATGTAGCATAACCAGCACTGGACCACAAGTTCTGAGATAAGCTTCCAGAGATAAAAGCTAGGTTTAGTGTTGCTACTACTGAGCTGCGTGACCTTGGCCAAGTCACTTAATTTCTCCAGGCCTAAATTTCCTCGTGTGGAAAATAAGATAGACTACCAGAGATAGCGGAACACACACTTTCCAGAAAGAACACCAGCTCCACTACTTTACAGGTCTTGTAATATTATGTTAGTTCACATTTTAGCCTAAATTTGCTCCTTTGCAAAATGAAAATAACAACTATCTTGTGAGTTGTTATGAGAATTAAAAGAGATGATGAGTTATTTAGAGCCTGTAGTAAATATACTATGCAGCTTACCATAAAAATCCACAGATGGTAACTCACTACCACCATTACCCGCCCTGTCCTAAGACTGCATGAATTCAATTCACAAATATTTCCTTAAAAGATCAACAAATCTAAACTTTCCCAACCTGACAAAAACAATTGTCTGAGTGTTTAACTAATAATTCAATTACAATCTTCTTAAACTGATGGTAGTCTGAGATTATTACCATTCCTTAACATCACAGGAAATAAGAACAGAATAGTCCCTGCACAACTTCTAAGACTCTGGTTCAATGATAACGCCTTTCCTGACTTCTCACTCTACTCTCACTCCTGCCAGTATACCTTGAGAAAAGAGAGGTCTTCCAGGAGCTAAAAGACACCCACCTGTTTACCATGGTCAGTTCAGGGGAGCAGGACTAGAGACAGAGGAAGGAAAACAGAGGCTTTTTTTTTTTTTTTTTACTTTATACATATACCTAAGTACTGCTCAAATTTGTTTACCATAAGCATGCATGAGTTTTGCAAATAAATAAATAATTTTAAAACTATACTTGTTACACATATTGCCTACTGACAGGATGCTGGAGTTACAGGAATATTTTCACAAAATTTCCACAGAAGAAAGCAAAAAGGCAAATTCAGATGTGCCGAGAACACCTAAAATACGGCACAGAAATAACAAAAATCACAAACATTCACATTTCAGAATGGTTTGGTCAAAAAATGTGGCATGCATTCTTTGAAAATGATGAATCAGATTCTTTTTTGTTCAAAAGTAAGATGAATGTATAAACTCTGTTTTTACCAGACAACTTCCTGCTCTTACTTGGAGAAACCGACCCAACACAATTTACCAGAGTAAACAAGTTGGTATGACTGTTGGTATTAGGTTGAAAAACTTTTTAAGTTTCTTTTAGACAACTGAAAGCTTAACAAAGTAAAAGTCTTCATGTTACATCTACAATAGTCGTTTGAAAAGAGGAATGTTAACTCTATCAGATCCAGGATTACTCAGAAGTATTAACCCACCTACCCTCAAAGGGATAAGATCACTATGTTGTATGCTTCTTCTAGCCAATGCCACACTACACAAGTAATCCTGACTGTACCCATCACTTGAAATTCACTGCAAGTTGGTGTGGCCACACTCTCCACACACATCATACCTCTCTTCTAGAAAACATCTGAAAATATGATTTAAAAATCCAATGAATGCATGTACATTTACCTAAGATTATGAAAATGAATAACCCTAACAGTTTGCTTATAATTTTTTACGTAGTTTTTCTCCCTCTCTTGGATAACTTGTTGATTAACTTGGCCCAAAATCTTCTGTACATTTCAAACAATGGCAAAGGACATTATTTCTTGTACTGGGCCTGTATTTGGATCTTAAATATAGTCTGACAGACAATTATAGACTAATCTGCCTTCAATATTAACGCCAAGCCTACTTCTTAAACAGAGATGCATTTAAAAGATCTGGTCAACTTACTTGCAGGTCCCTCTGCACTATTCATAGCCTTTCATGAATATGCTGTCAATTTTTAAATTACACAAGGCCCTCTGCATGTAGGAATGATATCTCCTGTTGTTTTGGCATCACTCCTCTCTCCAGTGAAAACTGGACCATCCATAGATGTATACAGACTTCAAGACAAAGTAGATTCGATATTTACGGTATTAGAAAATGAAACTTCTTGCTGACAATTGCAAAAATCAAGTTTACCATCTGACAGAGAGGTTCTGACTGACTCCCCAAAACTACAGCCTTACCTAAAAATAGTGGCCTAGCTTCCCAGCCAAGAGGACAGACTAAAAAAGCTATGTCTTTATTCAGCTCAAAGAGACAGACTTCTACTTCACCACAACCTTCAGTACTATAGTATTTCCCACTTTAGAATACTTGATGTAACAAGTCGTTTAGTGGCCAAACACTAACTTCACTTTGAAGTGAATACTAACACTTCACATGGTCTACATGTGTAAAAACTGTGGAAAATGTCTTGACACAATTCAGGCCAAACAATGCTAGCCACACAAGATTACCTACTTCTAAATATTCGGTTTTAGACTACAAATAAACATCGCCATAGGCAAAAAGCAGATCATTGGTTCCTTTCCACAAAGTAATCTGTAAGTTTCAAAAGAGCAAGATAAAAAGTTCAAATTGAGAGGTCTAAGGCATAAAATGCCTCCACCTGCAAACTGAAAATAAATTTAAAAATCCATATTTGCTCTGCGAAGAATAAAAATAAAAATTACAAGTAACACACATAAGCACTGCTGAGTTTCAAACCCAAGCAAATGTGGTGTGTGCACTTACAAAAGAATCTCGGTTTATGTCCACCTTCCTTTCCCAAGGTTTTTTTTTTTTTAAGGCAAAATGTCAATTATACACCTCAGTTTAGAAAAAAAATAAAGCACAGCTTATTCTTTTTAAACAGATGTTGTGACAGATATGAAGTTTGTCAGGATTTCAAAATCCAGAGGCCCAGATATGTTAAAGGAAAAAAAATCCTGCAGGAACCAATCAATTGACCATAATTACTTACGCTTTTCTAAAGAAATCAAGGTAAAATATTTTTAAAGTTGAGAAAACTGCTTGTAAAAAAAAAATGTAAGGAGCCGGCCCGTGGCTCACTCGGTAGAGTGCGGTGCTGATAACACCAAGGCCACGGGTTCGGATCCTATATAGGGATGGCCGGTTTGCTCACTGGCTGAGCGTGGTGTTGACAACACCAAGCCAAGGGTTGAGATCCCCTTACCGGTCATCTTTAAAAAAAAAAAGTAAAACTAGCAAACTTCTCTTCTCCCTAGCACAGAACACTAACTGTTCACTAACACTCTATCAATAATGTCCTTTAAATCCAAAGCATTACAAGTTAAATTAAACAAAACACTTTGAATTCACACACCATGTGTGATCAGAAAATAACTAGTCTTATCCCTAAGAAATTAAACAAAACTCGGCACTATCATTTTTTTATTTCAAAATAATTATTACAGAGACAAGTACTATTCCATTTTCCAGAAAGTAAGAGCAGGATTGATTGATTTGCCTAAAATAATTCTTTCCAATGGAAAGGGTGTACTTTCACTAATAGTAAATGTAGAGTACTGGACACCAAAACACAGATAAAATTAAGACATCCAATTAAAGTTACACAAGGAAATCTGAATAGACAAACTATAATTACCCTTGGTGAAGATACTGATCAAGGACAGCTACAAATAACCTTTGGCTCTGGATAAGCTCCACTATGCATGTTGGAGACACTGGAAAGATTGGTACATTTGACATGTTTTTCCTTTCTATATCTAGCCCTGTCCATACACCATTTGACAGAACAATATATTTGGAAAATAACAATGGCCCCATCAAATTACTTTAATGAGTTGATTAAAAAGAAAAAGAAAAAAAGGGAAATCATTTTTAATTGCAGTCTCACCTTACACATCTCACCAGCACTGTAGTTCATTAGTGATCAATTACTTCATCCAATTCCTGAGGCAAATAGAAAAGTAAAATGTATCTATATAACACCAATAATAGTCATTATCAGAAGCAAACATTTTAATAGACTGAACTGAAAGGGAATCTAAATTTCTAACTGAAAAAATTACAAAAATGTTACATTATGCAGCTTTGCAAATGATCTCTATTTCTTTTATCTTAAAATGAAAAGATTTCCTTTCATGAGATAAAAGAATTATAAAATGCTCTTAAAACCAAAAGGATAATAAAGTCATCTTTTTCAGCACGGACTGACCTTACTTTCAAAAAAAAAAGAAAAGAGAAAGGAGGGAAAATATCTCATTAATATGAGTTTAAAAGAGGGCAAAATTAAGAACTAGGCAAGACAACTCTTCCCTACTGCCCCTGCTCCAGGAATCCACTGTCTCTGCAGTTATACTTTTTAATTTTATTAATGATTTGCCTGAAAAGTGTAAATTATGAGGGCGAAGGAATGACAATTTTTGAGTTGCAAACAAAACATGAGGATCCCAATCCAAGAACAATCAGAAAACTCTGGCTTCCAGCCCTGTCTGAAGGATCCTCAGCAAAGGCAAGGGTGCAGAAGACTCAAATAATTTGCAGGAGACGAATCAAAGTTCCCTAGATAAGCCTGCAGTCTCCGAGCCCTTGCAAAAAGAGACTCTTAAGGAATCTCCAGGAAGAGATAGCCTGTTTTTATTTTTGTTGATGTGCCTGTGGGCCAAAGAGCATTTCCGAGGAGGGGGCGGGGAAAGGAGGGAAGAAAGTGAATCTGAGGCGGAGAGCCCTCCGCGGGGGAGGGAGGGGGCGCACCCCTGACCCACTTTTCCCGGCCCCCGCCCTACCCGGGTGGAAGTCCGAGCCCCGAGGGGGGAACCGAGCGGGGCGTGGGCGGCCCGCACGCTCCCCACCCCCAGCCGCGACCCGGAGGACGGGAACGTGCACGGAGGCTCGACTCCCCCTTCCGGAGTGCCCCGGGCTGGAGGAACCTCCCGCAGCCTCCCAGCCCCGGTGTGCAAGGTCCCCTCCTCCGCCTGGGCCCAAGACGCCGCGGCCCCCAGCGGAGGGGAAGGGGACCGAGCAGGGGAAGAAGCTGTAAACAGCCCCAGCGTCCGGGCCTCGCCTCGAAGAGCCCCGCTTCCCAGGCCCCGCCGCGGGCCGCCGGGACCCCCAGTCCGCCCCGGGGCCGCTCCGCCTGGGGCCCGGGGCACCGGAGGGGAGTCCGGGCCCCTCCACGGAGGGCTCTATGGTCCCAGATATAAAGGAGTCACTTGGGAAGAAAGACACAAATAGATCATTATAAAATAAGATTGTGAGTGGAGTAATGGAGCTTCGTGGTAATAAATATGAAGGGTTGAAAGAACATTGTGTGCTCAGAGATTTATAAGTATAATTGAAACTTCAAGAATGGGGCAAAGGTAGGTAGAAAGCCTGGTTGGGTGTAAGTATACCAAATTATGAGGAACTTTAAATGCATTTAAGAGACAGTAGATTTTAGCTTGTCT